TCAGATAGCAAGCAGCCATCAAAGCATTAAGTTGAAATATCATTAGTTCAAAGATGGTGTTGAACTGCAAAACCAAATTAAACATATTAGGTACGCAGAACAAAGTCAGCCTCTTCTTGGTCCCAGGACACATGAGTGTAGAAGGCAACAAGAAAGCGGACACCCTTGCAAGGAAAGGAGCTGCTACACCGCTGATAGGACTAGTATTATTTAGAATAACTGATTTTGTATGTTGTTAATTTTTATCTACACTTTCATTTTTGCAAGGTAAAATAATTCTTAATATAATGAAATTCTCCTTGTAATCAAATCATTGTTATGAATCTATAAGCTCTTAAAGAATAAAAATGTTCGTTAATTCAATAAATAGAATATTACAAAAAAAGTATTTTATTTCCAAGAACTAAATATACAGGTTTTAAAACAAAATAATGACAGACTCTGTTTTATTCCAAATGCATAATTAAATTAAAAGTGTCATTATAAAAAGTATGCGATTTTAATTAATTAAAAAACATCCTTCTATTTTGTTTTATTTTTATTAGAATTTGCCTTAAGGGTGTGATGACTTTTTATGAAATACTTTTCTTCACGTGGCAAAATTGGCGCAAGAAAACGTAAAAATCCTGTGTAAAAAAATTAATATTTACTTTCATGTGATTTACGACTTTATCTTTCACATCATAACCTAAGTACAACACGGGACTTTTTCATTATATTTACTGCACAATTTAAAATTGAAGCTGATGGAAGGACCTTGACAGTGTGTAATCTCAGGTCAATTCGACATTTTTGTAATCAGTTTCGAAGTTTTCTGCTGAAGGTTTATATCGTGATTTCAATTTTTAATCCTTTATTAATTTTTGTATAATTCAATATGGAATTTTGCAAAAAAGAAAATAATTAGTTCAAAAGGAAGAAGGAAATGACGAACAGGTTCTCATAGCTTTTCAACCCGGTCGGACAAACTGTCTTCAGCTTTGTTCGTTCTGCAGGTCAATAGGCGCCTTAAAGCCGGGAACACACTTACCCGATGCAACGCTATGCGACGCTACCCGATGCTACCCTACGGAAATCTTAAGTCCAATTTTCCATAAGATTGTATTACCGCCGTGCACATCTGCCCGATGCTACCCTAATCTACGCTCTGCAATCCCAACTGTCCAGATTTTCGGCGGGTAGCATCGAGGACAGTCGAAAACAAAAGAACCGGACACTCATATTTTTATTAAAACTACATGTATTATTGTCGCTATATTAATTACAACAAACTTACTTTAATAAAAGCCAAATTAACCGAGATCAAAAAATCATTATTTAAAAAAAAATTAATTTTAACGTTTTGGTGGAAAATTGATGAAAATTGACACCGGAATACCAATTTTTCATTTAATGAATTTAAATAACAATATATTACACGGTTTAGGTCATAAAATTTAATTAACAATTTATTTCATGGTTTTGCACATACAATTCCACCATTTTCGTCGAGTAGTGTCAGAACAGGACACTCGTATTTTTGTAGTTTATTTCAAACTATGTACATGTAATTTTGTCGTTATATTAATTACCATTCTTATTTTAATATAAACCAAGTTAAACAAGATAAAAAAATTCATGAGTTTTGATAAAAATTATTTAATTCTGATGCTTAGGCATAAAATTTATCAAAACACTGGAATAAGTTTATTTAAAACAATTAAATTTAGCCAACAATTTATTTCATGGTTTTGCACATACAATTCCACCATTTTCGTCCAGTAGTGTCAGAACAAGACACTCGTATTTTTGTAGTGTTTATTTCAAACTATGTATATATAAATTTGTCGTTATATTAATTACAACATTCTTATTTTAATATAAACCAAGTTAAACAAGATAAAAAAATTCATGAGTTTTGATAAAAATTATTTAATTCTGATGCTTAGGCATAAAATTTATCAAAACACTGGAATAAGTTTATTTAAACAATTAAATTTAACTAACAATTTGTTATATAGTTGTGCTCATATAATTTAACGAACAATTTATTACTTGGTTTTGCTCACAATAATGCATTAAGAACAAAAGAGGCGTTGCGATTGTGATACTGATTTGTGATCCACACAGTGTGACTGTCCGTGGCGTGCGCTTGACGTCGCATAAATGTGCATACTCTACCGAAATTTGATAAGGCGTCGGGTAGCATCGGGTAGTGACACATAGCGTTGCATCGGTTAAGTGTGTTCCCGGCTTAACTTTTTTCCCGTATTTCCGACGATACTGCTAGTTGGTGTTTGCTACGATTGTCTATTTCCCACTGCGAACGTGGTCTTAAAGGATTTTTTCTTTTTTTAATCGTCGCTAAAGCAAAACAAAGTTGCCAGAGCTTAGTTTTTCAAATAAATCTAAATAATTGTTAACAACACAAAATTATTTATTGTCTTGCATGTAGCGCGTAAATTATCGAATGAATGATGGTTTATTTATTCATATTTTTTCATGTTGTTTTTGGACAACGGTTTTTATTTATTCATCATCTGAGGTACATTACCAAGTTCAGAGAGATATATATTTATTTGTAATATTTTTTCCCTGTATGCCGGATGTATACGAACTATAGAAACGTAGTACAGACCGCAGAAGAAATTCTCTCTCCTACCTAAAAGTTATTGCGGGTCTGAGGACTCCAAACACTCTGACACGAAAAGAAGGAAACGGATGGGCTGATTTTTCTTAGTCTAAGAAAGGAAGAAGGGTCGGAAAACTGTTGGAAAAAAATTGAGTCTTTTTTTCACATTTGCTCAAGATTTTTTCTCTGTGGATGGGAATTAACGAAAACCCACGATCCAACACGCCTCTACCGAACGACATTATTTGTATATTTTCAAACAAAGTGACGAATTGGCATTGTATCCTCAGAGATACCAATTTAGAATTGAATCTCAAGGAAAAGTGTCACATGAGAAATTTTCAACTATTTTTCCACACATAAACAATCGTAATTATATTTTTTAAATTATGCATAAAAAATCTAACAGTTTTTTTTCCAGGTAAGGTTTGAATTAGTTAAATCTGGAGTTTTTCATATAAATTCATTCTAAATCTAGAATGTTGGTTATTTTTTTAACTAAACATTCCAATTTATTTTTATGCGATATATTTCAGTTGCTGATTCATTTCCAGTCACGTTCCTGGTCCCTCTTCAGAGCGAAAATATTATATTATAATAAATAAACACTTCTTGTTTTATGAAAAACAGTAAGAAAACTTTTTTATGTGCATACCTCGCTATTGAACTAAATCGAACTCACCGGTTAGCAACATTTCAAAGGTTACTAAAAAAAGGACTCCATTAATTATCATTATATATCAGTGAGAAGTTACGTATACTTATTCAGAAATCGTGAGATGCGGTCAGGTGTGATGTAGGTTTCAGAAAAGCATTTTCTTTATCGTGCCAACGTTTCGATCTTTATTGAGATCATCTTCAGGGCCTGGGATTTACAAACATTGTTTACATTTAACAAATACATTTAGGATGTGGAAAAGTGAATTTATACAATGCAAAATATATTTTTTATATTCAAAGTATTTCTACTCACTCAAAGTGTTTGTCTTCTGAGTAATTGTGCCATTCTTGCGTGTCGTGTTGAGAGTGCCAGCCAACAATGTTTGTAAATCCCAGGCCATGAAGATGATCTCAATAAAGATCGAAACGTTGGCACGATAAAGAAAATGTTTTTCTGAAACCTACATCACACCAGACCGCATCTCACGATTTCTGAATAATTATCGATTAACGGTCACTAAACAGCACACACGTTAAGTATACTAACCTTTGGTGAAAATAAATGTTAACATGTTAAGTATTTACAGCCATAAATACTTTTGATCACAGTTAGATATAGAAAATTTATACTATAAATACATGTATAGAGTTAATATATGTAAAACCTATAAATAAGTTAAATAAAATCAATAATTCTAACAATAACCATAAAAAAGTCTTTATATAAATAAGTAAAACTCATTAATAAATATAACAAATATTATGTATACTCACTGTAAATCATATTCTACTTACTATCTAGGTTAGTTTTATAAATATTCAAAATATTTTTATATTCGTAATCCATTTTCTATGGGTCTGTTTTTCCATTCACATTGTTTTCAGTTAAGTTAATGTGTATAGTTTCTAATAAATGTAAATTTTTATTTTTTTTTATAAGAATTTTATTTTGAAAATCACATTTATGTTTTGTCTCGAAGCTGAGTTAATCCTGAGGTTTGTTGCTGATTGCTGATACTTTTTCGTGTTCTTTCATTCTGTTTTTAAGAAATTGTATTGTTTTTCCAAACATAAGTCATTTTACAAACACACTTTAATGAGTAAGCAATTTTACTTTGTTCCATTAAATTTATTTTGCCTCTGGTTGTTGGAAGGAAAGTACTTACTTTTTTATTTAAGTAGATATAAAAACAGATATCCTTACAAATATTTTCTTTTGTTATTACTTTAGGTATTTCGTCCGTTAAACCATAAATAAATATAAAACTACTATACTTTTTCTCACCACTATCTCTTTTGCGGTTATTATAAAACAAATTAAAAAGTTTTCTTACTGTTTTTCATAAAAGCGTTTATTTATTTTAATATAATATTGTAGCTTCGAATTATAGGTCCGAAATCATTAGCAACAGAAATATATTGCATAAAAATTAATTGGTATGTTAAGGTAGAAAAAACTAACATTCTAGATTTAAAATATATTTATGAAATAGATTTAGGTAAAATATGTTTACCACCAAATTAAGTTAAAATTAATTTAAAAAATCAATTTATTCTTTCTTGTAGATCAATATAAACTCGAAATTGGAAATGACATGTTCATTTACCATTCGTTTCCATCACGACGTGGCATTTGCTATCCCCCATAAAGTAGACGCTTTTCTCATATTTAACTTTTTCTTAGGAAAGATATAATTTAACCTTCTTTTTTTCAATTTTGACACTGCAGGGATGACAATTTTTTGTAAAGCACTGGAAGGTGAGTATGTCGTTTTATCTTACGATTTGGTAACATTGAACCCTTCCATGCGTGGATGTAACATAAACAATATCTGACATTTGTTACATACTGACCCGTTTGTTACGTCATTTTATTGGATGCCTGCCCTGTAAAGCGGACAATGGCTTAGTGAAATTTTTCATTTTATCCTCTTATCTTAACGTTTTACTATTGTGTTCTGTGTTTGTATTAACATTAAAAATGATTATTTTACGTAACTGTTTTGTTATTGTAACTAGTTGCTCTTAGAAAAAAAAATCAATTTGAAAGAAATATAATTTAGTTCAATTTTAAATATATGACTTGATTAAATCCAGGTATGGATGTTATTAATTAAACTTTTTTTATCAAACGAAAAGTTTTCAGAATTTTATGGTGACAGTTCAAATTCATATTTCTAATATCGGAGCTCCTTTTATTAATTACAAAGGTAACATGTGCGATGGATTTGATAACGTGTTATGTAATATATGTTAATTTTTTAAATCTAATAATGAAGTCAAATTTATGATTTTTCTTGGGGTTTTAGGAATCGACGGGGTTCAAACAACGACCGAAGGTGAGCAGGGTTCCAGATTTAAAAAAATTGGATTATTTTTTTTAATAATCTTTTACTAATATCTCTGAGTTGGGGTTTTTAGAATACGAAGAATACGATTTTGCGAGCACCGATGCGCTACGTAAGTCGTCATATTGTACATTAATTAATGTTTCTGTCAAGTTAACAGTTTGAAAAGCGCAATATTACTAACACAATAACTCAGTATTAATCGGTGCATTGTAAAATAACATTTAAATTTAAATAACAAATATATTTTCAATTATAAAAATTAGACTTAAAAAGAGACTATATAAACATTGTTTAAACGATTATCTTACTTGATATTATAGCCTTGCTGCGGAGTGGATTGGCAAATTATTCTAGGCTTAGCGATGTTGTCACTTAGCTTCTCTTTGTTGTCGTTTAGCTAAGTCATTAGGGTTGCAAATTCGGTGATTAACTACAACGTTGTGTTTTATCTTAACTAAAACCTATATAAACTCATAACCTAAATAGAATGAGAATAAATAAAGACAGTTAGATAAATAGATAGAAACAGGGAGAGACAGACAGACAGAGACAGAGAAAAATAGTGAGAGAGAATAAAAAAGTGGGAGAAATAGGTAGATACGTAGATAGATAGATAAAAATATAAAAATGTTCATTAAAGAAAATTAACTATTCATTGATTTAATCGATTTTTGTTTCTACACGAGTATGAGTACATTACACAAAAACGTGTGACAATGCAAGAGAGATAGTGTGAGGGGGAAAAGAAAGGTAGATAAAGAAGTAATGATAAGCCAAGTAAGACAGAAAAGCTGGCAGACATAGAGAAATTAAGTGAGAGATAGATAGATAGATAGATAGATAGATAGATAGATAGATAGATAGATAGATAGAGAGAGAGAGGGAGAGAGAGAGTGAGCGAGAGAAGGGAGAGAGTGAGAGAGTGAGAGAAATAGAGAGAAAAAGAGAGAGAGAGAAAGAGAGAGAGAGAAAAGAGAGAGAGAGAGAGAGAGAGAGAGAGAGAGAGAGAGAGAGAGAGAGAGAGAGAGAGAGAGAGAGAGAGAGAGAGTTACACAGAATAAATAAACAAATAAAACACAAACAAATACTTTTTATTTCATTTTGGAAAACTGCTTATATCAAGGCTAAAATACCAGTACATTAGAAAATAGACGCAAAAGCCCCTGCTAACCATTTTGGGTAAGCTTGAAATAAAGTAAAGAATTAGAAATTAGAATTGCCAGACCTCCTCTGGCCTCTCCCTGATAGATCAGGGGGAGTCACCCACCTTGGTGCCTAAGCGACTCCGAGGTTGGGCTCTAGTCGGGCGCCATCGACTTCTTTGGTCATTTTGGCGCTCTTATGTTCCCTAAAGCTAGTCATTCTCACACTCACTCATACAATAAATACATACATACTCCTACATACAAACCCAATCACACATTCATACCCTCTGTCTAGAATCCGGGTCGTAGGGTACTCGATATTCCGCCCCGACCGGGCATAGCGGAGCAGCGGTGGAGCCTTGAAGTAATATGCTGCACCGCCGCCCTGCGTACTCCTATTCTAACATAAACTCAATCTAAACTTTAACCTATGAAATAAATACTCCACTATATACAACCCATAATCCCAATATCTCTTAGAAACCAAAAAAGTTTTTCCTTAAACTCGCTGCCATGCTCGAGCATTCTCCTATAATCTGGCGGTATTCCATTTCGATGCCTATACGGGGCAATAAGAAAAACTTATTAGAGACATGTTTTTCACTTTTTCAAAATTTGTTTATTTAAGGTAAAAGTAATATCACTCACATCACCCATAAATGTTAAATGGGTAGTAAAATAATGAGGTCGGTAATGCATCAAATGATAAACTAGGATAATAGCAAAATAAAATATATCTGAAGTGACAAATGGCTAACCATCAAAATGTTAACAACTTCGAAAGTACATTTGACCGATGGAACTTTTATTCGCTGTTTCCGGTTGTAAAATATTACATCAAAGCTTTGTCATCACTCTTTTCTAGACGTGCTTTGTCTTCCAGTGCAGAACTCTAAAATATAAAAGCAAATTTAGTAAAACTGTCGCACATCCTCACAAGGGCTACGGATGAGGAATCACCGATTTCAATCATATGAAATTGAGTTAGAGTTTGCGTGAGAAAAAGAGAGAGAGAGGGAGAATGAAAAATAGTTAGAAAGAGAGGAAGTGATAGAGTTACAAAGAAAAGAGGGTGAGAGAGAGAGAGAGAGAGAGAGAGAGAGAGAGAGAGAGAGAGAGAGAAAGAGTTATAAAGGGTGAGAGAAAATGTTCTCTCTATCTTTAAACAAAATATTGTTCTATTTTTTGTTTGTGTTAGTTGAACACGTTGACATATTAACTAGTTAGTGAGATGAATATTTTATTATGTGTGAAACGTCTTGTTACTTCGATAAATGTTTAATACATTTTAAGCAGCTTCAATGAAAGTATAAACGTAAACTAAACTAATTATAAATAAAACTTAGTACCAACTACTGTAACTACATAAAGTAATATAACTTAGTTGAGAATTAATTAAGACACTTCCAACTATTGTGGAATGAAATCACGTGATAGTTCCGTAGGGTGTAAATATTTTACATTGAGCATAAACTTTAATAACATAAATTGCATTAACGAGAAGAATTCTGTACAAATTATGTTTTACTCTTGATTAGTATTATTTCTTTGATGAGCAGTATTAATTTAAAAATCGAGGGAAGTACATGAAAAAAAATAATACAACCCTTTATGAAACAATTCTAATTTTGAGAGAACCAAAAAAGAACATCGTGATCAAGTCCACTATTTTTCGTGTTCCGCTTGACCAATTAATATCATTTAATTAAGGTTTTAAGTTGAGATAAAAAAAGTTACTGTCACGAGCGGGATTCGAACCTAAGACCTTAGGCTTGATATGCCGCTACTCTACCACTTGAGCTATCGTGACTGGTATATTGGTATCAACTGGTAGAGTAGCGGCGTATCAAGCCGAAGGTCTTGGGTTCGAATCCCGCTCGTGCCATTGACTTTTTTATCTCAACTAAAAACCTTAATTAATTGAAATCCCAATCAACGTTATGCACGACTCGATTTTGGGAAAAAATGTAACCGTTTAAAATTTCAATTTTTTGAAAGTTTCGATTTTGGACTTAACCCAAAATTCACTGCAGACACAGATTTATTTATCACACAAGATATGGCCTAGGTTTTAAGGTAGCATCATATTGATTCCAATTATAAAATATGGTTTCCATTATGTTTTATAATTGCAAATGTAGTATTTATTATTTTATAGAGGTGTTTCGGCTTTTATGTTTTTTATGGTTTGTTATAGCAAGACTTGAGATATTTTTTTGGTATATTTGGTTAGTAGGTTAGTTTCGTTCATACCTTATGTAACATAACTGGTTTATGATTTATTGCAATGATTAATAATGAAAAACCGGTTTAATGCAGTATTTACAGATTCTTAGTAGATTAAGAAGATATATTTGTAAGTTGGATGTTTTGTATCATTGCTTAGGTTCAGCCTTGTTTGGCTTTTAAAATAAAATAACTATTACTAACTAGTAACTTTTTTTTTTTAATAAAAAAAAAACTAGTAACTTAGACAAACTATTTTATTTTTTTAGAATAAGCCTTTCTTTGAACCATCTTTAGATTTTGTATGTCTATACTTCTTCTTTCTGGCGTTCTAATAATGTCAACTATTTCCATTATTGTGAAGAAAAAAAAACTCTTTTTTAGCATATCTAATTAACACTATGGCTTTTATGATAATTAGTATTTACTTTTATTACGATGTGGCTTATTCTCTGTTGTTAGTACAGCGTAAAACCCTGACTGTTTCTCTGTTTGGCAGTCTATTAACTGTGTTATAATTAGCGTGGTGACAACTGCGATGTGGTTTAGATAAGTTAAAATTAATTAATTAAATTAACCGTATTTCATTCTTAACATCATTAACAGTTTAATAATTAACACAGTGTAATTAAATTAACTCTGTTGGTAAATGGTTTAACCTGTGGCGTCTTTTAGATGGATAATACTTTTTTTGCTGTTTAGTATTGATTTAACTAAAAAAAATGTTTATTAAAGATTAATCTTTTATTTCAGGATTGACTAGTACGATGTAAGCGAATTTTGGTAAAAGTGCGGTTTGTACAGTTTCTCGGGTTATTTGTTTAATAAGCAAAAAGAAAATTGTCTGTGGGTGGCGATGTTGCGTTATTTCAGCAAGACCCGTGCTCATCATCATTTTGGATTTGACGGCAACCCCTCCGGGTATTCGGCCCGAGCTTACATCAATGGAGGAACCGGCGGAAATAACACGGCCCTCATTTCGGCATGCTCCGCCCCATCCAAGAAGACATTCAAACAGCCGGTGGCGTAGGATGTGGCCTATGCAAACTGCCTTCTAGGGATCGCCTGCTTTCCATACATTATTGGATTCTTGAACACCTGCGTACAGTCTTACAACTGCAAACTGCACCCACAATCAAGACGGTTTTATAGACGGGCCGGGCTCATTGCTATTATTAAGTCTGACGAGGAATGAGGATTTACACACTTTTTATTGCTGCAGGTTTTGTGTGAATTTGAAACTAAGGCCGAATTTGCTTGACGAAAAGGAGGTATTTTTTACAAAAATAAAATGATTGTAAATTAGTCCGAAATTGTACTTTATATTGCTTGTTGTGTGGTATTTCATATTTCTCTCAAATCTTCCAAACTGCTTATTGCGTGTCTTTTAATTTTTTGGATTAGCAACTTCTCATAATTCATCAAACCCAATAAAATATTTCCCTCTGGCGTATAAAAAATTGGATGCGCATAAAAAAGGACGTAACGTTCAACTACTCCGTTGAGTGGAAACGAAACCACTCAGCAATCCCTTTTTCATATTTTTAATTAATAACATTCCATGGGCTATGCCGAGATTCGAACCCAGAAGAGCTAGCGTGGAAAAGCCTGTCGGATGCCGTAACCAGTCCGCCCACTGCGGTTCCTTTATATACATTATAATATATTAGCGTGAATGGAGGGTTTAAACACGAGTACTCTGTAGAAATTAACGTGTCCAAACATGTCTTATTTTAAG